GTGCCTTCTTTGAAATGCACAAGAGTCTCCAGCAGGGGCTCTTGTGCATTTCAAAGCCATGGAGCCCGGGATCAGTGGGAGACTCAGAGTCCCTTGCTGACCCCGGGCTCCATGCTATGCTGCATGCCACTAGGAGCCTGAGTCAGCTGGGGCCTCCCCAGCTGACCCTGGGCTCCCCACAGCTGCTCCTCTGAATCCGGCAGATGTGTGGTTTAAAGGAACCGCCGCTGAACAGCTGATCCACGGCTGTCCCTTTGAACCACACATCTACATGATTCAAAGGGGCAGCTGCGGGGAGCCTGGGGTCAGCTGGCCTGCAGCCTCCATGTATCAGCTGTGCGGTAGCTGTCCCTTTGACCCACGCATCTGCGAGATTCAGAGGGGCAGCTGCGGGGAGCTTGAGGTCGGCCGGGGACTCTGAGTCCCCCGCTGATCCTGAGCTCCATGGCTTTGAAATGCACAAGAGCCCCCGCTGGAGACTCTTGTGTATTTCAAAGAAGGCTCCAGCTGCAGCAGGGACTCTTGTACATGTCAAAGGAGGAATGCAGAAGTGCATATCGACTAATCGATGAAAATTCCATCAACTAGTCAGTTAACTGCATTTTAACATCCTTAAAGCAGACACCAAAGAAATACACTCTCTGGATACAGACATAACAGTAATAGCCATTGTGGTGTCTTCTGGATCCTATTATACAAGGAGAACTGACATATTTATATGGTTTGACTGACATATTGAGAACTCCAGTAATGCCAATCATCTCTATTTTGCCCTCTCTTGGAAGAGGCCAACTGAGGACAATATCACATCACAGGCATCTGCTCATGTTAATCCAAGCTAGTAATTAAGTAGCACCCTAGCAAAAGCCAGTGTTTACCCACAAATGAAGTGGCCTCACAAACTATTTCAGAGGTTTATTTTAAATTTTTGTTCATTTAGCTCTTAAGCTACTAGAAAAGCTTCTGCATGGTTTTACTAATGCATTCATGTAAAAGTCATAAAAACCTAACTGCCCATCTTTAATAGTGATAATTATTCACCCTAAAATTAAGGAAAGGGTAGAACTTTGCAATGGTGAGCTAAAACAAATTGATCAGGATCTCCCAAATCACTGCTATTCCACCTTCCTTCCACCAGCAGAAGATGGTCCAATAAAAGATACTACCTCACTCATTCACTCACATATCCTGGGACCAACACAGCTACAACACTGCAAATTCTAACCACAGACATCTCAAACAGAAGGTGTCACATTTGTTCATTATTTATGAATAGAAATTAACTGGGAAAGCAACATCACTTTATATTTATAGCATTTTACGTCTTCACAATACGGATGCCAATTTTCTCTTGTGAGCAAAGTCAGACTTCTATTGCAAGATTCCAGTAGTAGGAAACAAGTTCATTAACACACCTGATCTTCTCAGCCCTTCTGACTTTTCAAAAGGTAATACTTTACTTTGTGGGGCTCATATTTCAGACTCTGCCTAAAATAGAAACATAACCATTTCAAGGGAGTTGGCTACAACACAGCTGCAATTTGTAGTACACACAGGACTGTAGTCTAGAGCTGTGCCAAAGCTTTGGCCACAAGACAAGCAAAGTGCAGAACAAAAACCAAGCTATCAGTGGGTCTCACAAGCTATGTCTACACTGCAACGCTATGTCAGGATACCGGAAAACCCCCAAATAGCCATCCCTATGTCTTAACAGCAAGCCAGTTATTTCGGGCTCACTATTCCAATGTCCCAGTAAACCTCATTCCATGAGGAGTAAGGGATGTTTTGGAATAGCAGATTATTTCTTCATTTGGCGCTGTATATTTTAACATCCTTAAAGCATTTATACAGTATGCATACAGCGCCAAATGAAGAAATACAATATTTTGAAATAGCATTCAAATAAGATACACAATTTGCATAGCTCAAATTGTGTATCGTATTTCAAGTTACGGTGCAGTGTAGACGCACCCACACAGCCTAGGAGTAGTGTAGAAGCCATGTGGATTCTCCGCCCATGCAGATCCTACTCTAGAGCAGAGATGTGGGGCTGCAGACCTGGGGGGGGGAAACTATGTGTAAGGGGTCCACGAAAGGGCGGGCTTGCCAGAGGAATGGTTTCCACGCACACTTCGGGGAGTCCGCAGACTCTAAGATTTCCCCAGTCGCCGGCATCGCCACTTGAGATGTTTTACGGGCCCAGCAAATGACAAAAGGCGGGAAGCGGCTGC